ACTGTGGTGACAGAATTTGAGACACACTGGTCATATTGCACGTGCATTAAGGAGGCTCTCTTATCCATTGTTCCCAGAACCACAGGCCATGGAATGGTGCCACCCACATTCAGGATGGGTCTTCCCTCCCCTGATGAACCTCTTCAGGAACACTCTCAGACACACCCAGAGGGGAGTTTCTTAGGTGATCCCCGCAACAGCAAGTGGAGAACCATGAGAACCATCTCACACCCTTCACTACTTCCTCTGCTTGGTTAACTCTTTCTGCACCCTTGGGTGAGCTCCTTCCACCCTCAACACCATACCATAGTCCTGCCCAGAGTGCTGAACTGGGCAGTTCTCTACCAGTGAATGCTTGTCCAAAGGATGGCCACTTTCACATCCCCAGCACTCAGGAAAGTATATGGCACATAGTACGTATTTACTCGTTGCTGGAGGAGTTTCTTGTTCCACCAGGTCCTGCCGTGTCAGCCCCAAACGAAGGCACAGAGGCATTATTAATTATTAAATTGTTGGCTGATGACTAGGGCTTCTTATTGGCTAGCTCTGTCTTACAGTTATTAACCCATTTCTATTAATCCACATCGTCTTATCTTACCGAGAAGGGTCTAGACCTGTTATTCCTTTCCTCTGCTATGTGGCGTCTCTTCATGGTCTCGCTTTGTTTACCTTTCCCAGAATTCTCTTCATCTCCTAGTCCTGCCTATCTTCCTGCCTCTACTGGCCAGTGTTTTAGTCATCAACCAATAAGAGAAACATATATACAGAAGGACATCCCCCATCATTTTCTACATTTTTATTTCTTAAAAAAATGAAGTATTATACCTCTTCAGGTCTGTCTATTTAGTAAGAATTAAACTATCTGTCTTCAACTCCATCAAAGACCACAGAAGGATAATATATAAACACTAGGATTGACAGAGACATCTCGCTACCTGGACAGTCACCCAAAGTTCCTCTGTAACGTTGGGGCATCCGTCTTCAGCCCATAAGGCCACAATGGCTACAGGAACCTCGGAACCTCACTTTATTTGATAATAGGGTTTTTGTAAATTCAATTAACTGAGTTTAAGATGATGTCATATTGGATTAAGGTGGGTCCTAAATTCAAAGACTGGAACTTATAACACACACACACACACAGAGGGAGAGGGAGAGGGAGAGGGAGAGGGAGAGGGAGAGGGAGAGGGAGAGGGAGAGGGAGAGGGAGAGGGAGAGAGAGAGAGAGAGAGAGAGAGAGAGAGAGAGAGAGAGAGAGAGAGAGAGAGAGAGAGAGAGAGAGAGAGAGAGAGAGAGAGAGAGAGCACACTTTGGGAGGCTACAAGTAGGGATTGAGCCACTAGCATTAGTCAAAGAGGCATGGGGTGGTTTTGTCTATTACCCCAAAGGCCGTGTACTGCCTGTGTGTTAGATCAAACTCCGAGCTTTTTGAGTTGCTCTTCTCAGCCACCCACATCAGCACAAATAAACTCCTTCAGCTGGGAGGGCCCTAGGATAAGGATGCTTCTAAACCACGGCTCCTGTGCATCTTACAGCAGCTGGAAAGGCTGCAAAGGCAGTTGAGATCTACTGAGAAACCAGACCCTGCGTGAGCCCTCTAGACTCTTCTGGGGCCTGGGGAATCCACGCTGGCTGGCACTCAAGTGTTCCGCAGCCCAGCAAACTGTGCGGCTGTCAGGAAGCACGGCATCTAGTTTAACCCGCACACCTGCTGACCCAGGGTATCCCAGAGTTAGATCACAGCTGAGGAGCACATGGGACCACACCAGGAAGGTCTGGGACTGCCAGGCTTTGGAAATTCAGACTTGGTTTCTCCAGGTTATGGGGACTCATTAGATTTTAAGGGTTTGGGATTTGGGAGTGACCTAGGAGAAGGTGGGGGAAATGGTCCTGAAAAATAAACCTGGCGACAGTAACTCAGAACTGTGACCTGCAGTAGCTTAAACAAAATACCTTTATTTACTCGAGCAATAGGAAAGCTGGAGATAAGCCAGGCAGTGGTGGTGCGCGCCTTTAATCCCAGCACTTGGGAGACAGAGGCAGGCAGATCTCTGGGTTCAAGGCCATCCTGGTCTAGAGAGTGAGTTTCAGGACAGGATCCAAAGCTGCACGGAAATACTTGATGCCATTGACTTAAGAAGTGAACGTGGATTATTTAGCTCCAAGATCAGGGTGGCATCACTGGTTAGGCTGTCTGGTGAGGACAGATGACAGCAATTCGTTGTATTTGAAACCCAGGTGGGAGCGTGCAGTTAGAGGGTTCTCATCCCGCCCTCCAGTTCCCAAATAACCACTCTAAGGCTTAATATTAATTATAATTGTTCGGCCACTGGCTGAGGTATATTACCAACTAGCTCCCACATTTATATTAACCCAAGTTTCTAGTTTACCAGGATGGTTCGTGGCTTGTTACCTCACATCTTGCGTCCATGGCTTCTTTCCTTCTCTGTATCTGTTTGGATCACCTGCCTAGCTATGCTCTATTTGGCCACTGGCCAAATCAGCTTTATTTATCAACCAATGAAAGCAACACACATCCGCAGCACACAGAAGGACAGCCCACATCCAGAGCAGGCGCAGCTCTAGACAGAGCAGCGGGGACAGGGATGTTCCCACAGTCCCTGTAAGAACATTCCCCGGTGACCCGAGGACCTCCTACAAGGTACCACCCCTTACGGGGACAGAGCAACCTCACCATTTTCACACTGCCATCCAACCTTAACTTAGGATCTTAGGGGGGTGAATTAATCGATGAACACCACCCAGAGACAGCAACCGGTCTTCCGACTTGGATAATTTCAAGAGCACAAGGCACCTAACAGAGAGCATGACTCAGTTGGCAAAGGCACTTGCCACCAAGTCATTTCACCTGTTCAGTCTGGGGGGGGGGCACGGCAAAACTAGCCACCAAGTCATTTCACCTGTTCAGTCTGGGGGGGACACGGCAAAGTTAATCAACCTCCACAGGTTGTTCTCCGACCTCTACAAATGAGTGCCCCCGGTAAATGGATAAAATAAATTAGTTGTGTTCATGCAAGTGGACAAGAGCTTTCTGGGTCTACTCCGATGTTTGCTTTTCCTCCTTCCGGTTTTTATTTATTTATTTTTTTTATGCAGTAATGTAAACTGAACCCACACCTCACACAAGCTAGACAAGTGCTCTACTATGGAGTCAAGCACATTTATCTCCCTTTTCCGGTGGCTCTCACTAGTATTGAAGCTTATCCTTAACCCTTTAGCACTTGTCACACACGCAACAGGAGCCAGCACGCGGCAGCTCCCCTTCCAGCTTCCCAAGTCACATTACTTTGGCCATTTCTACATTAACCACTTAAGGAGACTTCAGGGAGTCCTCCTAGCCGTGAGAGCCAAGAAAGCACCACCCCAAAACACAAAACAGCACGCACCAGCCCCTGAGAGCCTCCAGCGAGCCCCAACACCTGCGTTCTTTTCTGCACAATCGCCCAGGGGGATTGGAACCCATTAGTACTTTTCCACTCTGGTGTGCCAACAGAGGGGGAAGGGGAAAAGAGAAAATCAATTTCCTCCGCCGTCAGCACCATAGCTTCACTGTGCTCTGAACTCGTGGGGAGGTGGCAGTGTGCACTAAATCCATGTCAGGGCTCCCGGGAGACACGCTGGGCAGGCACTCCCAGCAATGACTGCTTTCAGTGGTTCCCCAGCAGGGCATGTTGGGAGACATGATCAGGGTGACAGAAGAAACACATATATCCACCCCCGGTTTTACAGCCTGTTTCCCTTGCTTCTGGAAATGGTCCAGGGTGTCTCAAGTGCTGCCTGAACAGAATATCACAACTCAAAATAAATAATTAAATAAGTAAATAAATGAGGAAAAAGCAGGAACAGAAAAGAAGGGAAGGAAGAAGACAGGAGGCCCCATCCTGTTACCTAGAAAGAAGTTGTGTTGTAACAAGACAAGGGAGTGGGTGGATTTTAAAAAGGTCCTACCTGCATTTCCTTACTAGAAGCAGATGCATTTTATGAAGATGAGGCAATGGTTTATGCACGTTCACCAGAGCTCACCAGAGTCCCCTTTGAAGTCATCCAGGGACCCACTAACCATCTAGGGGTAGAAACAGAGCTGGCATGGGCTCTCACAGCATAGTGCACCAGTTGGATGCCCTGGGGCTATTAACTTGCCTAATCTAAAGCTCACTCCACAGAACCATTAGAATACAACAGCTTTCTATTCACATAGTGTTTCCTTTTTCCTAAGTGATTCTCTATGCATCCATGGTTACCTGCAAGATTAACGCATCCAGCACTGCCTTACTACCTTGTGAACCACAGGGAGAGGGCTCCAGGCAGCAGGAAGCTGTGTCCCTCCCTCAGTCACAGAATCCCTCTTCAAATCAAGAGGCACAAAGCCAGCAGATACAGCTTTGCAAACCACAGAGCTCGGTTCTCTGCAGAGAGGTCCAACTAGGTGACCATTTAAACTGCATTCTGAGGGTCCCCAGGGCGTGTACGCCAGCTCCAAACTGTGACTCTGGGTACCAAGAATCTAAGAGGACTACACCAGATATGGTTGGAAGATGCTGTGCTACGAGGGACAGTAGCTGGCAGGATTGGAACTCTGCCTTCCTCTCCCATACTCACAAAAGAATGTCAGATGCTGCAAGTCTGACCAGAGTCGCAGAAAACAACAAAGCTTTCAGAGACACTTCGGCGTAAGACAAGGACCTCATCCCCTGTGTAGCTCGGAAACCCAAGTCAACCGAGGACAGCAGGTTAGAGGACTCAGCACGGGTCATAGTACACCTTGGAGAACCCTCCTCAAATTCCCAGCGGGTGGGGCCAGTCAAGTGGCAAGTAATGCCCCAGGAGACTTACCTGAGGGAAGGAGGTCTGGCACATTAACAGCCCCCCCACACACACAATCGGACTTGTGGGTCTCAATTCCTTTTTTCTTTCTTTTCCGGAAGTTTGTTTGGTCTTTGTTTGTCCTCCCTTCTACTTGAGCCCACCTCCCCCGGTCTTACACAATGCTTCCACGCTATCTAGACAGGGCAGGAGCACAGTTGAAACCACACTCCTTCCTCCTTCTGCAGCGGGCTTGGGCTGAGCTCTCAGAAGATGCCAACGACAGTTTCCGGAGCTCTGCATGCCTGTATCCACTTGCTCAGCACAACAAACCCTAGCAAACGGACGCTGTGATTAGGACTATTTGCAAGGGAGGACGTCGAGGCACCAATCAAACCTAGGACACAGAGGACACCCCCCCCCATGAGCCCAAGACCACACAGTCGTGGAGAAGCGCCGCAAATTCTCTCCTAAATTACCATCTCCTTCTGGTGAGTGAGAGCAGCTAGGCAGCCCTAGCCTTCTCCGCGCCAAAGGTCTATTTACCCCATAAGTCTCAGCCGAAAACGGAAAGAGCCCTGCGCACCCTGTCTCTCCTCTTAACGTCCCATGGAAAAGTTTCCAGGAGAGACAGTCCCAGTGAGAGAATACGAACTGACAGCCAAGATTTCAGAAATGTTTTTTAAACCTACTATTTAGGATCTATGACTCGCACTCGGTAAATTCCATATCCGCCAGCCGCACTTACCTAGTAAAACTGGGAGGGACAGAAAACCCGCAAGCCTAGTACCCAAACCAAATCCCCAGCCCCAAACTGCCATGGGGACCCCTGTAACTCAAGTTCCCACTTAGCCCAACTCGGGACGACGCCACTGCCTGTCCATCCGCTAGGAGAACACCCGCGGCGAGCATCTTGGAAGGGCGGGGATGTGGATGCTACGGAGCCAGGCTCTGCGGCTCCGAGTCCTGACCGCGCCAAGGCTCCAGTATCCGGGATCCCTAATCCCTGTTCCCCTCCCCCAGCTTCCCTAAATTCCACCTCGAGTCCCACGCCCTTAGAGGAAGCGATGGCTCTGCGGGGGGTGGGGGTGGGGGCTCGCCACCTCTCTCCACCGCACACCCGACTAGGGAGGGAATCTTCTGGGACCGTCAGCCACGTCCTCTCCGTGCACGCTCATCGCCTTGGCCCCGGGGTTGACCCCACGAGCTTTTAGGCCTCTGGGGAGTTCTTCCCTAGGCTCGCCCGCTGTTCCCGCAGAGCCCCTCTCTTGGGGCGGCGATCCAGTGCCCGCGCTGCCTCCTCCGGCGTCTCTTAGGCCAGTCCGGCCTCCACCCAGCCCGCTGCGGTCCACGTGGCTCGGCCGAGCTATATCGGGCTCTCAGGAAGCCCCAAGCAAGGGGAAAGCCGAGCCGAGGCCGGCGGGAGGGGCGGAGGGGCGCCGGGGCTCCGAGGGGCGGGCGCTGGGCGGAGGAAGGGGAGGGCTGCGCGCCGTGGAGGCGGCCGCGGGGCTGGGCGCGCCCAAGTCGCCGCTTGGTCCCAGCCGGCGGGCGAAGGCGGCCCCTCACCGGACGCCCCGCCTCCGACTCCCGTTACACCCGGGGGAAGGTGTTCCAGAGGCCGCTCCCATCCTCACCCCGCCTCCCGCTCTCCCGGCTCTAGCCTCTGCCGGCGGAGCCCACTATGCCAGACACTTTCGACACTTTGCAAAGACAAAGAGCCCTGGACCGGAGGGAGGAGAGAGGAGGAGGCAGAAGAGGAGGTACGGGGGGACCCGGAGGTGTGAGCTGGTCGGGGTGAGTATCCCGGACACATCTCCTTAGATACCCCCTCCGAGCCTCCTCTGTACCCCAAGCCGGGCAACTCCGGCGTGTCCCCGGCGTTGGGCGAGTGCGCACCCAGCTGGTCGCTGTCCGGGTGCCCCAGGGACGGCGCCGCCTCGTGAGTTGGGGCTCGGAAAATTCCGCATGTGTTCTTTTGAGTGCAGAGGTGATCGTCCGGACCCCGGGACAGAACGGGTGGGGAAGGGGCTGGGAAGGCATGACAGTGGAGGAGGGACCGAAGACCCTGGGCGCCAAGAGAGAGACACGAGGGGAGAGAGCTGCGTCTCGGCCACCGCCACCACGGTGGTCTCAGGAGGAGTGTCAGGGAGGAGACTCCAGCCCTGAGGTCCTGGGCTCTCTGGCGTTTTACCGGAGGAGCCTCCCGGAACTCAGTGGGGAGCCTACGGCGATTGTGGCAGCGGTTCCCCGGGCGGCCGCGGTGACATTGCACCCAGCACCGCAGTAGCTCCTACTAGCCCGGGCCGCGGGTAGAAGACTCCATCAGGCGCTGCTTGCCCGCCCACACTCTCTAGGGAAGCCGAGGTCTTGAGCTGGGACGCTTGGAGGCCGTTGGTTATCTAGACCAGAGATAGTGGGACAGTGTCCGGATGGAGTCTCCCAGTCCGCTGTGAGCAGGCGCAGAGCCGGGAGGAGGCTGTTGGCCCCCGGGACACCTCTAATCCCGCGCTGTGCCGGATCTCCGGGAGAAGTTGGCTCTTAGGACAGGACAACTGGATGTGGTGTGTTGGAAAGCGGATGGATTAGCGTGGGCAAAGGGAGCAGGCGGTGGCAACTCGAAACTTGGGAGTCTGCCCCAACCCCGTTAGGCGCCACAGCTGCCAAGAAATAATGTGACAAAAGTTAGCAACTTGTCCGTGACTCTGTAATGTGACATGCGCTGCGCAGGGCACCGTCCGCCCCTTTGATGAGTGCCCTGGGGTGGGAAACCTTGACACCGGACTGGGCGACTTGGTTGGAGTACTGTTAGCTCCGAATCCGACCGTTGCGCTAGCAACTTTCAGCCCTTGGAGTTTTTTGTTTGCTTGCTTGTTTGTTTGTTTGTTTCTTTTTTCTATGCGTGAGTGTTTGAGCGTGACCTTGCGGGAGGCAGTGCGGCTGAACTCGAGATGGGCACTGAGTCGACCGGTGCCCCCCCTCGTGGTACAGGTAAAGGGGTCGTCGCCTTGGCTCACAGCGGGGTTTCGGGAAAGGGTGCCCGGACCCACCCCCCCACCCCCACTCTCCATCCCCGTCTGCTGGAACCTGGAGTTTCTCCAGCCTCTTGTACAAGGGTCCTAGCCAGCTCCTGCCGCCAGTAGGAATTGGTGGCACTCCATGAGAGGATGTGCGCGCCCAGGAGTGCGCGAGGGAGTGGGGGCTGGGCTGGCCCCGGCATCTCGGAGGCTGAGTCCCAGGAGACATCAGTGACCCAGAGGACGGGAAAAAGCTCGCTCAGTGGCTACAGCAGGCCTTCGCCAGACTTCCACTGTGTTTATGGGGAGCCCTCTCCTCTCCCAGCTCGCGCGCGTCCCCCCTCGCCCTCGTGGACTTGAGGTGAGATGAAGCGCCCACCCCTCTCTGTGGCAGGTGAGGGGCGCTCCCCAGCAGAAAAGCTGCCAGGAGCCGGGGACGAGGCTATGCGATCTCTGCCGCCGTTCCTGGCACATAGTAGGTGCTAGTACTGCGCTCAGTGAAAAGGCCTCTAGGACAGAAGGCGCTGGCTGGAGTCGGAACGCCCCTCGTCCCTTACCAAAACTACTAAATTTAAATTCGCCCAGCGGTTTCTAGGAGCGCGCTGAGCACCTACTACATCCCTCGCCAAACCGGAGTGCGTGTTTCTGGGAACCGGGGGCGGTGTCCCCTGGTTTTCTTTCTTGGATGATGGCCCAGAGCGCCCCCAGTTTGAAAAAGAGAGAGGCACTGCCCCCTGCCGCCTTCTTTGGAAACAACGGCTGGACTAAGCTGTGAGGGAGGAAGACCAAAGCCTCAGGGCTGGTTCCCCTGAGCCTCCGAGCACTTCCCCTTCCTGCCCAAACACCAAAAAGCCTTGCCATTTTCTGAACTTCCGTGATTGACCGAAAAAAAAAACCTGAAACTCACCGTTCTGTGTCTCCCGCGTGTGCCTAAAATTGGATGTAGGGTGGAGATTTTAGCTGTAAAAATGTGTTTTAGCATCTCGGGGCCTCAGTTTCCTTATCTGTAAAGTGGAGCCGTAACTACAGGCTCCAGAGTGAGTCCTGCGGACTAACTGTGTGTAGATGTGTACCGTGCAGACATATGCTTGCAATACGCTTGTGTGTGCGCTTTTGCTTGGACAGGAGCTGACCAAAGGAATAAAAGAATGAACAGCTCGCTTTTCCCTGTGCTTTCTGACATTTCGTTTCTGACCTTTCCTCTTCCTGCCTTTTTTTTTTTTTTTTTGAGATCATACTGCCCATCAAAGCCAGGGCCTGGGCTTAGCAGGGGCTTCCCCACACTGGCTTTGTTTCAGGGACCAACATCCTGGAGCTAGAAAACAGGAAGTGCTGCTGGAAGTGGCCTGAGGGTTTAAGCTGGGCTCTGCAGCAGCAAGCGGAAGTTGACTTTCTCTGAGCTATTTGTAGACAGTGTGGGGATCTCATCTACAGGTGCAGGCTGCCGCCACGCCTACAGGCCTCCTCAGGTTGGGACCTCTGAATAGCAGGCTGTCACCAATGTCAGGAATCCTAATTCCCCTCCTGCCTGCCAAGGCTTGGGGAAGTTATCCTTGTGTGTGGAAGAAAAGGATGTCTTGGGGTCCTAGGTCCTCAACATGACAAGTGAATCTCCATCTCTTCTTCCACCAAGAAGCCTGTCTCGTCAGGACTCTACCCTAGAAACAAGTGCCGGGCAGTCCTTCCCTGGAAGGGACCTTGGGTTACATGACTTTGCTATCTACCCCCTCTCCCCATTAATTTACCTGACTGGGGCTGCTAACTCAGGGTTTGTGTTTGGACAGGGCTATTGTTTGGTGGAAGCTTCCAGTCTCCAGAAAGCAAACAGAAAAAGAAAAAAGTAAAGTCCATCAGTCAACTTGTGCTTATACAATGGTCTCTTATCTACAAATATTTCCCAAGATCTGGGTAGATATCCAAGACCTTAGCTACCATGGAGTGTTGTAACACAGTCCAAATTTTAAATTAAACCACAGTAAAAGATTAACCATAACTAGCAACAAAATGGAGCAATTGTTACGATATTCAGCAGTAGGCTGCTTCAAACTTACCAATTTAGAACTTGTAGAATTGTCTGTGTAGTATTTTTTTTTTTTTTTGGACTTGAGCTGACTGTAAAGTTACTGAAAATTGTGAAATGAGACCACCGGTGAGGGAGACTTCTAGAGTGCTTCCCAACCACTGCTTTGTGAGAGCTGGTCAGATCAAAAGAAACCCAAAATCAGATTTTCAGGCCCTTTCGATCATCAGTTGCATGACCCCTGTGGAAACTGCATTCCCCTTCACTGGCCCCAGAACCCGAGAGCTTGCTTGTCTGTTCTAATTTGGTCAGAAGAACCCAGACGTGACCCCGGTGAGAACCTGCCTCTGAGTCTCAGTGCCAAGGCTCCGTTGCTTTGCAACGTGGCACCCAAGCTATTCTGGGTCCTGGGTCTCGGTTTCACTCTCCACAGAACAAGAAGCTGTAGTGTTCTGCC